AGAAACCATAAAAAGGAACCAGTCAGAAGTGAAGAATACAATAACTGAAATCAATGCACTAGAAGGAATCACCAGCAAACTAGATGAAGCAGAGGATCGAATCAGCGATTTGGAAGACAAAGTAGCAGAACACACCCAATCGGAACAGCAAAAGTAAGCACAGAGAGTCCCAAACAAGATGAATCCGAACAGGTCCATACCAGGACACATTATATAATAATTAAAATGGCAATGGTTGAAGACAATGAGAATCTTAAAAGTAGCAAGAGACAGGCAACTAGTAACTTATAAGGGAACTCACGTAAGATTGTCAGTTGATTTCTCAACAAAAACTTTGCAAGCCAGAAGAGATTCGCAAAAAATATTCAAAGTGATGAAAAGTGGCAAGAAATATTCAAAGTGATGAAAAGCAAGGGTCTACAACTAAGACTACTCTACCCAGCAAGGCTATCATTTAGAATCAAAGAACAGATAAAGAGCTTCCCAGAGAAGAAAAAGATAAAGGAGTTCATCATCACCAAACCAGTATTATAAGGAATGTTAGAGGGACTTCTTTAAGATGGAAAAAATAAATAAATAAAAGTATGAAAAATGGCAATAACTACATATCTATCAATAATTACTTTCAATGTAAATGTAAATGGATTAAATGCTTCAATAAAAAACATAGGGTGGCTTAATAGATAAGAGAACAGAACCCTTACATATGCTGTATATAAGAGACTCACTTCAGACTGAAAGACACACACAGACTGGAAATAAAGGGATTGAAAAAGATATTTCATGAAAATGAAAATGGAAAAAAACAGAAAAATTTGGGATCGCAATACTTATACCAGACAAAATAGAGTTTAAAACAATGGCTATAATGTGAGACAAAGAAGGACCCAGTAATCCCACTTCTGGGTATTTATCTGAAGAAACCCAAAATGCTACTTTGAGGGTACATGTGCATCCATATGTTCATTACAGCATTGTTTACAATGGCCAAAATGTGGAGGCAGCCTGGGTGTCCGTGGATGGAAGAATGGATAAAGAGGAGGTGGTACACACTTACAACAGAATATTGCTCAGCCAGGAAGGGACTGGGTTGTTGGCAACTGTGGCCACATTAATGGACCTGGAAGGTATTGTGCTCAGTGGAGTATGTCAGACAGAGAAAGACAGATGCAATGTAATTTCACTTATACTTGTGTGTGGAATCTAAAGAACGAAACAAATAAAACAAAAACAAACTCATAGATACAAAGAACATTTTGATGGTTGCCAGATGGGAGTGGTGTTGAGGGGGTGGGTGAAAAACGGGAAGGGATTAAGAAATACAAATTGGTTGTTACAAAGTAGTCCTGGGGATGTAGGGTATAGCAAAAGGAATATAATTAATAATATTGTAATAACTATGTATGTGTCAGATGGGTACTAGATTTATTGGGGTGATGGGAGGGAAGTTGGGGGACAGGGTGAAAAAGGTGAAAGGATTAAGAAGTATAAATTGGTAGTTACAAAATAGTCATGGGGATGTAAATATAGAGAATATAGTCAATAATATAGTAATAATTATGTATAGTGCCAGGTAGGAACTAGACTAGTCGGGGTGGTGGTGGTGGGGGGCACTTTTTAAATTGTATTTGTCTACCCACTGTGCTGTACACCTGAAATTAATACAAAATACATTGAATGTTAACTGTAATTGAAAATTTTAAAAAGGGTGGAGAAAAAAAGGTGAAGGGGAATAAGAGGTCCAGATTTCCAGGTATAAAACAAATCATGGGGCTGAAATGTACAGCATAAGGAATATAGTCAATAATATTGTGATAGCAGGCCAGCCGAGTGGCGCGTTGGTTAAGAGTTGGCTTGGGATGCCAGCCCTAAGCAGCAGGGCCC